TCTTCTTTTTGGGCCCATGCGTCCACCTCCTTCTTAAACACTTGGTCAAAAGCTTCATTCTCCGAGGGCACTCCAAGTCTCTTGTAGTGTCCTGCTAGAGCTTCCCTTTTTCCCTTCCCACTGCTAAGTAATCCACCGTTCACACCTCGCAAAGTTGCTACCCCTGCATCCCCCCCTTGCGCGGTCTTTTTTACCATTCCACTAATCCCTTCCCACATCTGCTTGACGTTTCCCTCCAGGCCTCCGTTGGCCTTCTGCACTACTTCGTCCCAAATACACTTTTTCTTCTTTNCCTCGCAAAGTTGCTACCCCTGCATCCCCCCCTTGCGCGGTCTTTTTTATCATTCCACTAATCCCTTCCCACATCTGCTTGACGTTCCCCTCCAGGCCTCCGTTGGCCTTCTGCATTACTTTGTCCCAAATGCACTTTTTCTCCTATTTCACTACACCGGTAGCGGCTACGGTTTGAGACAGGGTTGGTACAAGCCAATTTTGCTCTCTTAAATCGGTATTTATGTTGAACAGTTTTGGCCACGCTTTAAGAGAGTATTCCTTTAAACCATATCTCACTTTAAGAGAATATTTCCTTATATCGTAGCCAACTCGAGAGGTCGTGGAACACTGACACCCTGACGCCCACTCCAGCAGTATGTGCCGTCAGAGCTCATGGAGAGCCTATCATTTACGTATGTCACATGACCCAGCTAGCGTCAGCACCTTAGGCTAGCTCCACACACAGCTTTGTCTGTTGGTCGGCGAGCGATATGGACCCAAGTCACGGTACGCTCTTGGAACCTGTGCTGGGAGATTGGACCAAGTATCATGTCGTCGTGTGGCACACTTAGTGCCCGCAGACGCCTCTGCATTTGTGTATTGTGAAATGAGGCGGACCTGGCGTGTCGTCGGGCATAGTGCAGCGGTCGCCCACTGCGCAGTGCATGGTGTCTGCAGCTGTGTTCTGCAGCTGTGTCTGTGTTGAGAGCTATGGAAAGTGTGTGATGGCTACGTGACGTGGCCTCCAGCAGCTCGATTTAAGAGAAAGTCTCAGAAATATGCCAAATTCCCTTAAATCTTTTTGGTCGTGCCAAGCGATTCTCCTCTCTTAAACCCGTACCTTCTCTTAAAATTTTCTCCTTAAATCGTAGCCGCTACTGTATTTATAGTCCTTTCACCTGTTTTCTCTTGTCCCTGTACTTTCCCCAACTCTCCTCAGACGCCTCACTCAGGTACTGCTTGAAGACTTCTCTACGTTCCCCTATTTCTTCTTTCAGCTCGTCATCCCACCACTTTGCCGATCCCCCACATCGTACCACCTTCTTTCCCACTACTCTCTCTGCCGTTGCGTTCACTACGGACTCCCACCCTCCAATCACCCTGTCCCCTGCTGCCTGTACGTCTACCTCTCCGTGTTCGGCGCTTCTCAGCAGTTTCCTGAAGGGTTCTACACTACCAGCCAGTCCCTTCTGGAATTCATCGGGGGGGGGGGGGGGGG